CACCAGGTGGCCAGACCTGCCACTAAGTATGTGAACCCAGGAGTCTACCCACTCCTCCTGTATGGATTCAGCTCAGGTGTGCAGGTAGTCAGCCACCAAGTGTGTGGTGCAGGCTCTCACCTACAGTCCTTGACAGGCATGGGTGATTGGTGTGGGCACAGGCATCCAGCTGCAGCAGGGGGTCACACACTGAGCAAGGCAGGGGGCTGACAGCCACCCCCGAGTGTCCAGGAGGAAAGTGTGTCCCCGTTCCCTAGGGCGCTTAGGTGGATGGGTTTTGCAGCCGGCTGATGAACACCCAATGCTCTTGGCTGTAATGACTGGGGGGCACCGCTTCTTATTCTTGGGCCCCTGTTGCAGGTGGCTAGGTGGCGTGGGTGGAGCCACCAGTCCTCAGGCCCCTGGTGTGTGTAGGTGAAGACCCTGCTTAATAGGCAGAGCAGTGTCAAATGTCAGGAACCTGCCATTTCACAGCTGAAACAGTTGAAGTTAGACTTCAGGTATATACCCTATTGTACTGTGGTAATGAGGGCCTAAACTGTTGAAATGGGCCCACACAAGTCTATGCAGGGGGAAAGGCATTCAAGGTCTGTGGACTCCTTATGCCTGTGCCTACCCTGAATTCCTGGCTTAGGGGAGCCAGCAGATTATTTTTTCCCATTTGCTAATTTTTTCACTCTCCAAGGCCAGGAGAATAGCTCAGGGCACGTGAGGGTTCCTACTTCCGGCCCAGGAGACTCAGCAGTTGCTGCAGCCATCCCGGCCTCAGTGCAGAGCAGGGAGCAGGGAGGTAAATGGGAGAGAGGTTTTTCCCATAGTGGGGTGTTTTTGATCCGTGCGGTAGGCCAGACGCAAGTGCTTATCTTTCACCGATCGAGGGCTGCTTCTCACTGGTTCTGGATGGCCGAGTAGACTCTCTGCCGCTGGGTCTCTCCTGACGTGGAAGACGCCTCCCAAGCACTGCCACTTGCCTGCCTCACCGCACACCACAAGCTGATCCAACCTGAAGGGCTCAGGCTCTTTCCGGGTCAGGTCCGGCAACTCCTCACTGCTTCCGAACTGTCTCCTCCTCCCCCTGCCATTCAGTCCGATTCCTCAACTTTGCCTTTGATGTTCAGGGCTCCTAGATTGTCATATATAATAGATTCACTTGTTTTTTCAGGTCTTTGTTTTAAGAGGGACCACCAGAAACATCGGACTACTCCGCCATCTTGGCCCTGCCTCCGTGGTGGCTTTAAAGAGCAGAAATTTATTTTCTCACAGTTCTGGAGGCTAACATTCCAAATCAGGGTCTTGGCCCTGTCAATTCCTTCCTTGTTGGTAGCCCTCAGCTTCTTTGGTTTCTTGGTGTTCCTTGACTTATAAACAATACTTAAATGGCATCTGTCCTTCCTGTGTGTGTATCTCTGTGCACTCTCTTTTTTATTACTCAGAAGTGATTAGATTTAGACCCCACCCTACTTGCGAATTCAATACATATTTTGGGGGGACACATCTAGTATTGCAATAACAAGGTAAATAATGTGAGATACTGAGCATCCTTTCTTGACTTTATTTTGGGGGTACTATTATTAAATTGGCAGAGCCCTGATGGCACAGTGATCAAGAGCTGAGCTGCTAACCAAAAGGTCAGCAGTGCGAACCCACTAGCCTATCCTTGGAAACTCAATGGGGCAGCTCTACTTAGTCCTATAGGGTTGTTATGAGTTGGAATCGACATGATGGCAATGGTTTTTTTTTTTTTATTATTATTATTAGAGTCAGAGCTACTTGGTTTGAAATACTTTTCTCCAGTATGTTTTTATTATTATTATTTAAAATGTGATCCAATCATTGTATAAAATTTGAGTCTTTCCATGTAGGATATCTATCTTTTAAAGACTTACTTAGCATTTATCGGTCTACATGCTTGTCTCTCAGTAGATTTATTAACCTCAATTTCATCAACATGCTATTCCAGGCAATTATGCTTATTACACCCAAAATGAACGTATGTATTTAACAAATCTAGGATGACCTTTACCCTATCAGTAGTGCTCAGTTTACAAGTAATTGAAGCAAAGCAGCACACACAACAACATTATTAAATATTTTCTTGAACACAATTTTCAGTGGCTGCACACTATTTTTATCAAGTGGGCATAACCTACATTATTGCTCAAGCCCATCTTTATGGCCTGTTTCATTTTCCTGTGGTTGTTCTCAGTCTGCATAGCTTCTTCAAATTCATTTTTTCTATTCACATCTTTCAACCATGTCACTCCTGTGAATAACAAATTCTGAAGAATTTATTCCAATTACTTTTTTTCATATATCACAGTTGTCAATCTGAAAAGTTGATGGATAATTTTAGTCTTTCTAAAAGGCTAAATGAGTTGCCCTTTGTTCATATGGACCTCAACTGATTTTAATTTTTTATTGGCCTAGATTTAAAAACACTTCCTTACCATCTACCACATATAATTTATTCTTATTTGTTGTACCACTAAACCTTATGGTATGAAACCTGACAAAGGTTTTAATTTGTGTTGGTGCAGACCCAAGGCAGGGATTCAGAGTACAGGGCAGCTCCCCTTCCCAATGGTTATTCTGCAGCCTCTTAGCTCTTACTCTTCTCACAAGGCCACAAATTGCCCTTTCACATAATCTTAATCTACTAAAACAAACAAAAAACCTAACAGCTGCTGTTGAGTCAGCTTGGACTCATGGTGACCCCATGTGTGTCAGAGTAGAACACTCTATACAGTTTTCAGTGGCTGGTTTTTCAGAAGCTTAGCAAGCATTTATTGAGTGAGCAGACCACTCCCATCTTTGATGCTAGAGTATGCCCAGAAAAGTCACCATGGGGATGAGAGGATTGGAAACCAAATCACAGAATTATATTGTACAACATAATGTGCAATGAGTGCTTACTATATGCCAGACACTGCCCCTAAGTACCTTGTTATCTCATTTAATCCCCATTGCACCACAATGAAGATGGTACTATTGTTATCCTCATTTTACAGATGAGAAAATTAAGACAGAAAAGTTAAGTAGCTGTTCGATGTTACACAGCTGGTGTATGGCAGTCTATGACTTTTGGTTGAAAGAAATGAGGAAGCATAGGTATATGGAAGCCATAATAACTATATTCAAGTGTATGAAGAGCTGTTATATAGAAGAAACCAGAAGTTTGTTCTACGGGAGCTTAAAGTCTAATATTTGACCAGCAGGTGGAAATTGTTGATAAGTAGATTCCTGGTTAATATATGGAATAACTCTCCAAGAATAAGATTTATTTTAAAAGGAATAAATAACCTTGTGAAGTAGTGAGTTACTCATTACTGAAAAGGTTCGAATAGAAGTTGGATGACCCTGGCTGGGGATACTGACAAAGATATTCAGGCACTTAATCAGGCGTTTGGATTAGTTACCCTCAAAGGCCCCAATGACCCTGAGATGATAGTAAATGATTCACTATCTAATTTCTAGCAGGATAGATGGAGTTGTGTATTATGGGTAAAGTAGCAACATATTATTAATGAGTTCCAGGTTGTCAACATTACAAACAACAAGCATGCTAGGGTTGATTCTTATTATATAAAATTGATAAAATATCTTAAACTCAGCAACAGAGAAATTCAGATGTTGTTGTTAGGTGCCATCCAGTCAATTTTGACTCATAGCAACCCCATGTGATAGAGTAGTATTGCCCCCTAGGGTTTTCTAGGCTGTAATCTTTACGAGAGCAGATCATCAGGTTTTTCTCCTGCAGAGCCGCTGGGTGGGTTCGACACACCAACCTTTCAGTTTGTAGCTGAGTGCTTAACTATTGTGCCACCGAGCTATGTGCGTGATAGAGGCAGTGCAGTGGAGTGGTTGAGAACATGGATTTCAGAGCCAGACCACATGGGTTCAAATCCCACTTCTACCATTTATGAATTGTATGACCTCAGGCAATTGGTTAATCTCACTGTGCCTGTTTCCTCATCTGTAAAACACTGTGTTAAAAACACTATCTCATTTTTAATCCCTGTGAAGATTATATCAGTTGATATATATAGAGTGCTTAGAATAAAGCCTAAGACATAGTGTAATAGGTAATAAATGTTGGTTATTGTTATTCCAAAGAAGGTCTATGAAAGTTTAGATACTCAAACATTATAAAAGGTAAATTATTCCAATTTTATTGTTATAAATTGATACATTATTATGAAAAAAATGAGAAAGACTCATAGTAGATAATGCAAACATACATCAAGAAAATATTAGACCAAGATAGATTTGAACTCTGACTTTTAAAAAGGGCTTCTCAAACTGTTTATCTATTTTTACTTTTATAAATACTCAATATTAAGTATTTCCTTGAGTATCTATTATTATTTCCAGTACAATGCTAAATACTTTAAGGAGAAATATAAGAAGCATATCACACAGTCCTTATCCTTAAATATCTTATAATCTAGCTAGTTGTGATTATAAAGACACAGTTAAAAAATTCTAGGGCCTAATACTTTTAAGTAAAAATGATTTTTCAAAGTAATCAATTTGGAAATTTATACACATATTTCAATAATTCTGCCATTGCTCAAAACATTTTTTGCATCTTTTATCTGGGGATTGTTTATAGATCCATTATACAAGTCATTTGAAAATAGCAGATTCATTGCTTTCGTTTAGAGTTCTGGTCTATCTTCCTCAAGCACATAGCTTAATCAACCTGTACTACTTATTACGTTTGGTTCTCAGAGACTTGTGGTTATTCTAAAATGTTAAATTCACCCTAAAAGATTCGCTATTCTTGATTATCTCCAAAAGAAAGAATCGCAGAATTACTAGACAGTAAGTATTTCGAGGGTGAGGGGCCTAGCTCACTCATCTCTGCATCTCCTGTAGCATCGAGCATGGTGCTTAACCATTGCAGTTCAACACGCGTTTGTTGAATTGAGCTAATGGGAATGCAGCACATTAGTTGCTCAGCAGCTGGAAATATCAGGTGGGCTGAGGACCAAGGTGAGAAGGGGTTCCAGATAGGATTTGAGTGAGATTTCCTTCTGCTCTATTATTTCAGTGTTTTCATTCATCACTTCTTAGGCATCTGGCTTTGACAGCGAAGGACAGAACGGTCTGCCTGAAGCTGGCAGCAGATTTTCCCAATGTTCCCTTCTAGCCCTGGGTTGGAAAAAAAAAAAAAAACATATATATACACACACACACATATATACATATATATATATACACACACTCATATATGTATGTGTGTGTATATATGTATGTATGTATATACACACACATACATTATGTATATGTATATACATACATGCATATATTATACTTAAACAGATTAATATTTATTTTTAAGTCCAACATGTCATAAATATATATTTGCCAAATACACTTAAGTTTGGTGGATGATCAAGCTAAACTGGAACTTTAGTTTCAACATACAGCTAGAAAAACTATGTCCATATACATTAATGCCAGTGGCCTTTCTCACATTTATATCTTCAATAACAATCATTAGATTTTATACCACCTTCCAGAAAAAGACAATATATTTGAATTTTGCTTTTTTTGTGTGTGTGTGTGAATTACTTTCATTCTGAAATTTCTAGCAGAGTCTTCTAACTCTATTTAGTATTTTAACATAATGACAAGTTCATGAAGACAAAGTTTTTAAATAGATGAAACAAAGTATAATTCTTCAAAAAGTAACTAACAACCCAAAAAACCCACTGCCATTGAGTGGATTCTGACTCATAGCGACAGAATACAAATTACTTTTTTTAGTATTTGTTCTTTATTTTGAGACAATGAAAGAAGAGTACGAAGGTTCCTGGTCACAGACCTTTGCATTAAATATATTTTTACAGTTTTTTACTCTTTACTTACAAAACAAGGGATAAATATTTTTAGATGATAAAAATGTCAGAAACCTGGGGTTTATACAGGTTTCTGTGTAACCATAAATTTCTGCAAACATCAGTAGGTTTGGAAGTTCAGAGTGCAAGGAGTGCCTGGCTTTAGTCTACAGAATTATGTTTTTTCTTTAAGAAATGATGGTTACTGCATTTTAAGGATCCCTAGAAGATGATCGTTAAAATAAGCTATTTCTCACTTATTTAAGCTATTTTAATCATCACCAAAGTATGTTTTCTTTACCTTTAATTATATTTATATTTCGTACTTTTTTTTCCCTTATAAGTGTGGTATCTATCAAAGCTATCCATATCTCCTAGAAGATAGGTTTGGCTAAATGATTTCTTGCCTACTTTTACAATCTAAATAAATTTACAATAAGAAAGTTGTTTCAGCTCAAAAATGAAGACTTCCAAATCCCACAAAAGACAAAGATATGGAAAATATGGCAGAAAAATTAAGAGACAGAGAGGAATGATCTAGAAAGTCTAACATCTAACATATGTCTCAGAAAAACAGAATAAAGAACATGAAAAAAAATCCATAATCAAAGAAATGACAGAAAAACTTTCCAAAGCTAAAGAAAGATTAAAGGATTAAAATTTTAAGATTGAAAGGCTTACCAAGTACTAAACTATATCAGTTAAAACACACACACACACACACACACACATTTAGACATGTCTTCCTGAAATTTCAGAATGGCAAGGATACATGAAGGATCTTAAGAATTTTCAGAGAGAATGAAAAAGGTTCCTACAAAGAAATTTGAATCAGGTTAGCTTCAGCGTACTTAACAACACTAAAGTTTAGAAGAAAATGGAACAAAGACTTCAAAATTCTGAGGAAATATACTTTTTAACCTAGAATTCTATATCCAGCCAGAATATCAATCAGGTGTGATGGTAAAATAAAGCAAATTTCAACATACAAGAACTCAGAAAGTTTAGGTCACATGTATCTTTTCTGAAAAATTTACTTGAGTATGTGTTCCAGCAAAATAAGAAATCTGTGGCAGCACTGAAAACAACTTTGATCTCTGCTCTGGGAAGTGTAATTGACTGATAGTACCAGCTACCACATGTTTTTGCAGAGGGCCATGTTTCCCTTGGGCTGCTCTCAAGTCAATGATACAGGATGACAGGGATAGTAATGTAGGCCCATTCCTTCATATGCAGGACTCCTCTGGCATCTGACTTTGGCTCCAAGACCTCCTCATCCCCTATCAGCTTGGTCAAAACATTCTTAGAACTGTGCAGACTCCTCCTACCTAACCCTCTTTCCTTTCTTCTCTCCTTCACAAGGCTCAGATCTACATCTCAGTATGATAGCTTTCTCTACCTTTTTTGGTTCCCTCCCGATTTTCCCTCACAGATGTTTTCCCCAGTAAATCTCTTGTATGTCTAATCCTGTCTTGGCATATACTCCACAAATGATTTGAACTAACACAAAATCCAAGAAAGAGCAGAATATGGAATCAGAGAAGCAGTGAACTGAACCCAAAAGTGTAATGTAAAATCATCAGGATGCTAACTGTACCTATGACCAGAAAGCAGTGATCTAAAACAGAACAGTAGTTCAGGGGCCCCAAGAAAAATGTCTTCAATAATAAAGTGGATTGACTATAAGAAATAGTATAATTTGGAAACTGGAAGGAGAAGGTGAAGGCCTCTTATTCTCCTGTCAGCAATGAAAAAGGAAGTTAATTAGAAATTCCCAGAAAATCAAATGTTATACAAAGAAAGTCATAGTCCAAGCATGAAGCAAATTAAAATATGGCATGAATTTGGACAACTCATGTAATATAAGAGAATTCATTTGACCTTGATGCTTGAAACATTTGCCTTCAAATGGCTCAAATTTTGTCAAGTAGGATTATTTCTCTTTCCCCATAGCTCCATTCATACCACTTGGTTCTGCAGTAAATAATGTTTAGAAAATCAATTTGACGGGATGTTGGATTGGAAGTTTTATATTGAAGGCACTGAGATAGTTACAGATATCAGGTATCAAAGTGAGCTGCAAGATAGACCACACTGCAGAAATTTCCAAGTAGGTACCCTAGAATGAGTCAGATGACTTACCAGACTCTACAGTGGAAAATCTGGAACACAAGAGAACAAGGGGCTGGCTACTTTGCTTGTGAGCAGAGAGGATGCTGTTATATTGGGATCAGATCACACTCTCAGAGTATAACTGGATAAAGGAAGGGTGAAAGGTCCTCTAGACAGTTTTGAGCCTGATGGAGAGAGAGCCAGCTTGGAGGTATTTTCAAAAAAATCACTGGGAAGGACAAAGGGACCCCCAGGCCTGAGGGGGAAGCAGCTATCAGGAAAAAACGCAGTGCCTGTGGTGTAAGAGGTAAAGACAAAAGTTCCCAGTGGAAGCTTCTGAGGAACCATGGAAGTGCTCGAGAAGATCTGCCAGGCCCAGAGAATGCAGTCTTCCTGTTAGATGCCAGCCAAGTAATACACATTTTATTTTCCTTTTCTGTCCTCTCCTTAATTTGATTCCAAAGAGGTCAAAAACCATGGTAAGTAAGTAAGATGGGAGGGAGGATTGGAAGCATAAGGCTTCAAGGAAAGAGAGAAGGACCCTACAGACTTTCTCTGGCTTCCTGTCTGCTGAAGGCTTCCACTGGAAAACATGAAAAGTTTTAAGTTTGAAACATGTTCTGAGTTTTGATTTTACATGGAACTGAACACTTTTAAAAAATGAACTGAGACTGTGTTTGCAAAGTAAAGTGATCATGGAACTTTCTGTTACCTAAAAGTACCCAGAAAAGCCCTGGGACATGTCAATACTTTCACACAGAGGCAGAAGAAGGTATGGAACAGGTTTAAAGAGATAAAGGGAGACAAAAATAAGGTTGAGTTCTGATTACATTTCATGAGTCCTGTTTAATATTACAGATATAATAATATTATAAACGTTCTTCACTGATTCCACATTTTTAGAATCAATCTCCAGACCAAGTATGGAAGACTTAATTATTACTACAGAAAAGAACATATTAGTTATAAACTTTGGTGATATAAAAATAATGGTAATAACTTAAAGAAACCAAGTGGTAGATAGTGGGGAAAAGTAAGAGAAGCAGAAGGGAGTCAATTCTTATTTTACAGAAAGTGGAGTCAAGAGATACTGTCTAATATTGATGGATTAAGAAAAAGGTGGTTAAATGTGTAATTTAAACTTACAATCAACTGAAGAAATAAAATGTAATAAATCAAAATTGGGAAAAGAAGAATGGGGAACAGGGGAAGATTATGTGAATTAAATTCCTTAGCTTTTATAAGAGATAAAATCAATAATTACTGCTTAAAATTGATAAAATGACAAATAGAGATACAAGACCTCAAAACCCAAATGGCAAATGGGTTAGCTCTGGGCCTGGGACTGGTGTCGGGAGGCAACTTTTACTTTTCATTTTATGCACTGCTATACTGTTTGAGTTTTTATCACCAGGTACATACATAACTTTTATAACAGTAAATAAAATGAGATTAAGGGAAAACAGTAAGAATGTTAATTAAAAAATTCCTACCTTGCTCTAATCCAGGGTTTGGTGTGCATGTCCAAACCACTTCCCCAGCTGCCATGTTTTTCTGAAGCCGGTGGCAAAAATCCCCTTTCTGGGGCCAGCTCCTCTGCAATTGCCCTGATGTGGTAGGGCTCAAACCCACAGCAGCCGCCAATGTACCTGATACCCAGGTTGTAGGCCTCTCTGGCGTACTTTTGAATATCCCATCTGGTTGCAACTCTGGGCTCCAGTGCTGTAATATAATAGTTATGACATTTCTGTTACCATCCTTGTTTTCAAAGGCCAGTGCTCTGATGGATGTTTTCTCCCCCCAGTAAAAAACTATAAACTTTAGATTACGTTCTCTTTAAATAGCTCATTTTTGGCTAGCATTGTATGTTTTTGTTTTATGAAGTCTCATCTTCTCAGACTGTACAGCTTATGTTGTTGTGTGCTGTTGAGTCAATTCTGACTCATGGCACCCCGATATGACAGCGTAGAACTGCCCCATAGGGTTTCCTAGGCTGTAATCTTTATTGGAGCAGATTGCCTGGTCTTTTCTCCTAAAGAGTGGCTGGTTGGTTCAAATTGCTAACCTTTCAGTTAGCAGTCGAGTACTTAACCATTGCACCACCAGGGCTCCTTGTACAACTTATAGTTGTTTCAATTTTGTTACAACAGGAAACCACAAAGATTTTCCATAAGCTTACCAAAGGGGTATTCTGGGAGATCCAAAAACCCTCCTTTGCCACAGTCAGGTGTGTGGAATCCCAGGGACTGTACAATCAGGTGCGCTTTCAACCCTGCAGCCTGAAGGCCTTCCTTCATGAGTTTCATTGTCCTCAAGCTGGTGCTGGGTCCAAATCGGCAGTTCACACCAACGATTGAAGCCCCTAAGCAAAGAAATGAAGAACTTTAAAATTTTATTTACTTACTTGTTTGTTTAGTCTTTTTTTTTTTAAACAGTTGAAGGTAATTTACTTGTTGCAATGGAGTTGACTCTGAATCATGGTGACCCCATCTATGTGTGTCAGAGTAGAACTATGCTCCATATGGTTTTCAGTGGCTGATTTTTCAGAAGTAGATCGACAGGGCTTTCTTCCAAAGCACCTCTGGGTGGGCTGGAACCACTAATCTTTTGGTTAGCAGCCGAACGTTAACCGTTTGCACCACCCAGGGATTCCAGACGGTATGTCAGGGATTAGCTACTCCCCTCTCCTCCCTCAAGTTTTACAGATAACACCACTGATTCAAGTTAACGCTTCTATTTTTGAATTGCTCTCACAATACTAAGCAAACCTGGTTGAGTTTCCTAAACAACAAGTTAGTTGCTTATTGCATATTATGGATCCAAATTACCTGCCTTCACCAGTTTAACGGCACATTCTCCGGGTGGTACATCATGCATGTCTCCCTCTGGGCCTATGCACATGGTAGCTGCCACGGGTTTACCAGCTTCCTTTAGGACTTCCACAGCCCACACGGCTTCCTCAGCATGCTCAAAATACTAAGAGAAGTTTCAGTTTTTCTACTGGTCCAAATATAAAGCAGATTTTGAATGATAGAACTGCACTGTTATAAAACAGTTATAAAAATTACCAGATACATAGTATGTGATAAAACTTGTTAAGGAATGGGCCTCTATCAGACTGACTAAAGAATACACTTCCGAGCAAATATTTTACTTACTTTAACAATAACACAGATTTTCACTCAGGGATCACCTGCACACTGAGAATGACAACTTAGGGGAAAAAAACTCACAAAGGTCTTTAAAGTCATTGAGTATTGAAAATCATAGTTTTTATTTATTTATTTTTTTGTGATAAAACTACATATAACAAAACGTTTGCCATGACAACATTTTTTATACGTGCAGTTCAGTGATATTAATTTACATTCATCATGTGGTCCAATCATTACCACTATCTGTTTTTAAATTTTTCCATCTCAAAAACTTAGTGACCCCTAAGCAATGACTCCCCTTTTCTCCCTCTGTCTTGCCCCTGGTAACCACTAATAAACGTTGGTCTCTATACATCTGTCAAATTCTAGATATTTCATATAAGTAGGATCATATAGTATTTGTCCTTTTATGAGTGACTTGCTTCACTAAGCATAATGTCTTCAAGCTCCATCCATATTGTAGCATGTATCAAGACTTCATTTCTCTTACCGGCTGAGCAGTATTCCATTTTATGTACATACCACATTTATTTATCCATTCATCTGCTGATGGACATTTAGGTTGTTTCCACCTCTTGGCTATTGTGAACAGTGGTGCAATGAACATCGGTGTACAAATACCCATTTGTGTTCCTGCTTTTGGGCATATACCTAGGAGTGGAATTGTTAGGTCATATGGTAATTCTGGAGCCCTGGTAGTGCAGTGGTTAAGAGCTCGGCTGCTAACCAAAAGATTAGCAGTTTGAATCCACCAGCTGCTCCTTGGAAACCCTATGGGGCAGTTCTACTCTGTCCTATGTTTAACTTTTTGAGGAATTACCAAACTGTTTACCACAGTGGCTAAAATCACAGCTTTAAGGGGACAAAACTTTTACTAACCAATCTAAGACTTATCTTTAATGGAACTGGGGTAATCTCTGAAAAATAGTTTATCGTGCTTTATACTTTTAAAGTGCTTTTATATTCACTTCCAGTTAGATATTTACAAGTGCTCCATGAAGTAGGAAGGGAAATACGATGATTTCCACAGATAAGGACATCGAGGCAAACAGTGGGAAGGGATAGCTACTCAGTTACTTTGCCAATGGTGGATCAAACACTTTGATAAACCCATGACATTTGCAGAGGTGCTTCTCCAGTAATGCGCTTAAGTGCCACAGTTGAAAAGCTGTCTTTAAGATAAGTGGAGAAAAGCCAGCATAAGTCTCCCTGATTTCTCTCTTTGACTTAGATTCTGCAGCAACAGTGTGTGTGGAGTGATAGAGTCAAAGAGGGGTTCTTAAACAACAAAACATTTGTGTTCCCATCCATTTGGAGAAGAGATAGGGCAGAGCTAGCACAGAATTTGTTCTACTCTGCAAATGGTTGTTACCAGATTGGTTAGCCAGGTTTGGAGCAGTGGTGAGCCTTGGTAAGATTGATGAGTCAATGGATAGTGATAAATATTTCAATAGGTTCAATAGAGACATTAGGAAAATCGCAGTTTGGACAGAGTCTATTGCCCTTGCTTAGGGTAAAGATCTGGGTGTGAGGGCTTATCCCCAGGCAGCAGCAGTTGTTATGGGAAACAGGTATTCAGAGTTGTTTTTTTTTTTTTTTCTTGGTACTTTAGATGAAGGTTTACAGAACAAACTACCTTCTCATTAAACAATTAGTACACATACTGTTTTGTGACATTGGTTACCAACCCCACGACATGTCAACACTCTCCCTTCTCAACCTTGGGTTCCTTATTACCAGCTCTCCTGTCCCCTCCTGCCTTCTAGTCCTTGCCCCTCGGCTGATGTGCCCCTTTATTCTCGTTTTGTTTTATGGGCCTGTCTAATCTTTGGCTGAAGGGTGAACCTTAGGAGTGACTTCGTTACTGAGCTAAAAGGGTGTCCGGGGGCCATACTCTCGGGGTTTCTCCAGTCTCTGTCAGGCCAGTAAGTCTAGTCTTTTTTTGTAGGTTAGAATTTTGTTCTACATTTTTCTCCACCTCTGTCCAGGACCCGCTATTGTGATCCTTGTCAGAGCAGTTGGTGGTGGTAGCCAGGCACCATCCAGTTATAGTGGACTCAGTCTGGTGGAGGCTGTAGTACCTGTAGTCCATTAGTCCTTTGGACTAATCTTTCCCTTGTGTCTTTGGTTTTCTTCATTCTCCCTTGCTTCAGATGGGGTGAGACCAGTGGAGTATCTTAGATGGCCACTCACAAGCTGTTAAGACCCCAGACGCTACTCACCTAAGTAGAATGTAGAACATTTTCTTTATATAAGTCTTATGCCAGTTGAGCTAGATGTTCCCCGAGACCATGGTCCCCACACCCTTAGCCCAGTAATTTGCTCCCTCAGGCAGTTTGGGCGTGTCTATGGAGCTTCCATGACCTTGCCTTGGACAGGCTGTGCTAGCTTCCCCAATATTGTGTACTTTCTCACCTTTCACCAAAGTTACCACTTATCTACTGTCTATTTAGTGTTTTTCCATCCCCACCCCTCCCCTCCCTCGTAACCATCAAAGATTGTTTGTGTGTAAACCTTGTCATAAGTTTTTATAGTAGTGGTCTCATACAATATTTGTCCTTTTGTGATTGACTTATTTCACTCAGCATAATGCCCTCCAGATTCGTCCATGTTGTGAGATGCTTCCCAGATTCATCATTGTTCTTTATTATTGTGTAGTACTCCATTGTGTGTATGTACCATAGTTTGTTTATCCATTCATCTGTTGATGGGCATCTAGGTTGTTTCCATCTTTTTTGCTACTGTGAACAGTGCTCCAGTGAACATGGGTGTGCATATGTCTATTCATGTGACGGCTCTTATTTCCCTAGGATATATTCCTAGGAGTGGGATTGTTGGATCATATGGTATTTCTATTTCTAGCTTTCTAAGGAAGTGCCGTATCGCTTTCCAAAAATGGTTGTACCATTTTGTATTCCTACTAGCAGTGCATAAGAGTTCCAGTCTCCCTGCAGCTTCTCCAACATTTGTTATTTTCTGTTTTTTTTTGTTTTAATTTGTGCCAGTAATGCTGGGATGAGATGGTTTCTTATTGTGGATTTAATTTGCATTTTGGTATTGAGGGCTTTTTTTTGGAGGTTTAAAAAAAAAAAAAAAAACCTGTTGCCACTAAGTCGATTTCAACTCATATCAACCCTATAAGACAGAGTAGAACTTCCCCGTAGGGTTTCCAAGGAGCAGCTGATGGATTCAAACTGCTGACCTTTTGGTTAGCAGCCCAGTTCTTAACCACTGTGCCACCAGGGCTGGAGGTAGAGGGAGGATAATGTTCTAAGCCTTCATATCCAATCACTAACCAATTCCTACTGATTCCTTCTTCTAAATAGCACTGATATGTTATCACACAAATGGAAGCAGAGCAGTGAGAGTGAGCAAGGCATGAATGGAGGAGGGAAAGAAAATGACCAGGTATTTGAGTAGCATGGTGAGGTCTGGATGAGCCCGAGCAGACATCTACCTCCTACACTTTGCTCCTTCAAGGCCTCCAGTCTATATCCTCACACCTTCCAGACCTGGTTTTTCTTCAGGAGAGGATGGTCCCTGGACCACTGTCCCCTCCTCTCACCCTACACTGTAAGAGATCAGCTGCTTCAACCCCCGAGACCTTAGAAAACCAAAGACTAAGGTCAGGCCTCTCCTAAATCTCTCCTTTGGTTTCACAGAGAGCCTAGTACAGATGTGAGAGGATGGTAACCTCAACTACAGTGCATTTAAATAAACCTTTGACCCTCCACATGGAGGAAATGAGGGCTAAAGCAGTTCAATGCCCTAACAAAAGGTGAAGACTGTGCAGATGATACTTGTCAAAGGGATTTAATCCTTTCCCTCTAATACTAGGCTTACCTCTGCAATTACGAAGTCCACATTTTTCCTGGCAAAAACTTCTAGCTGTAGTCGAAAAATTTTTTTGATTGTAGCTTCATCCTTGTGGTGTTTGTACACTGATGTCTGGGAAATCCCCCCTGCTACCAAAGCATCGCCTTTTCCAGCCACTTCCCTGGCGAGGTCACAGGCAGCAGCATTTACATCTTCCCACTGAGATTAGAGAGTACAGAAGGTGAGCTTGGCATTTTAAAGGTAAAATATAATCAATAATGGAGGGAGCTTTGAGCAAGTACGATGAGTACAAGTCTCTGGTTTAAACTGCAATAGGAGAAGATCAGCAGGGTTGGGTACCATCTCCTCTGCTACCGGTGACCTTATCTTTCCATTACTGTACTCACCACACTGGATTTTAATGACTGTTTATTTGTCTATGACACTTGACTATAAGCATCTTCAGAATAGGGTCTATGCTTTTGTTATCATCTTTGAATCTAGCAGACAGCATAGTGAATAGAGTACAAACATCTAGCATAGTGAACGGACTATATAACAGGTACTCAGTAAATGCTGGTTGCTTGAATGAATAAACGAGCATTCACATATACAAGCATTAACCCGTTACATTTGCAGAATATTTTACAATTCTTTCATATCCTTCATCTTATCTACTCTTCTCAACACCGCCATGAGTTGACACATTACTCTTATCTCCATTTTGCAGAGAGAAAACTGATGCTCAATACAGTTAGTGTCTTGCATAAAATCACGGAGTTAATAGGTGGCAAAATTGCATATCAAACACAATTCTTCTCATTCTAAACCAGTGCTGTGTTCCCCAGGGTCACTGTGTCTCCAGGTGGACAAGACAGAAAAGAGGAATGTGAAACGAGAAAAGGTAAAAAGGAGATCTACAAAGTGTTCTTTCTCTCCAAAAAAAGAAAAGCACAGAAGGTTGGCCATGCCATCCTAGTAATCTATTCTTCCCCAATCGTACCCCTCCTCCTCCCTTACCTAAAGGGACAGAAAAAAGCTCATTCATTTAGGATATATATTTATATAATAACTAATTAATAAATAGATATTTTATGTGGATTTTGTCAATAAAGTGTGGTAACACATCATGTTGATTTCACAGCTTGCCATCAAGAGGTTATTTTTATTATAGACGATTCTCTCTCCTGCATATTTACCTTGCTTTCCATATTGTCTTCACTGGCCGAGAAGGTGAAAGTCTGCATGACATTTGATCCTGCTCTCAAGAATTCCATGTGAAGCTGACGAACTACAGAGTAGTTGTTTTTTTAAAATTGAAATAAAAGAAATTAAAAATCATGGATGCTATCATTTTCAGCAGCAGCAGCAGGTCAACCACTCACATCTTTTTCAGTCATACAGTTTCAAATCTAGTACCTATAAAACATTGCAGATTAAGGTCAGTGGAATTCAAAGGCTTCACAGGACATGGCAAAGTGCCAAGCTAGGACTGTTTAGATAGCCTCATATTGTCCTGCTGATCAGTCCCAATGGCCTGGTGCAGTCAGATGTAGAAATTAAGGTGTGGCTGGCCAATTTTCTCCTAGTCACTTGGTTTAGAGAGTGTTTATTCCTATACTAGTGTTGTGAAGGATGTAGCTGGTCTGCATATAGTCAACACTGGGCAGCTCAGGAAATAGAATGAGGAAATTCTCATTGTGGACAGAATGTACATGGGTAGCGCCCATATCAAACCAATTCAGTAGCAGCACTGGGGAAATACAGAGAGCTTTCCTTGGTTTATCAGAAAGTTCTCTCTCTCTGTCTTCCTCTTTCTGCCTCCCTCTCTGTCTCCCCTCAACTCTCATTTTTTATCCTTGCTTTTTTTTTTTTTTAACACTTTCCTGGTTTAGAAAACGGTCTTCTAAAATTAAGAACAAGTTCTTCTTGGGCCATATAAAAACTTCCTGCCAAGCACCAGAGAGGCACAACTTTGTTCAGTCCTACAACTCTGAATGTAATGAGATAATAACGATAATGGCCACGGAGTACTTAATGATATGCTGGGCATTTCATAGGGATTAACTTTTAAGTCCTCACAACTACTCCATATTGTATCCCCACATAACAGATGATGAAATTGATGCTTGGAGAGTGTTATGGATTGAATTATGTCCCAAAAAATATAGTTGTAAATCTTAACCTCTATGGATTCAATTATGTCCTCCAAAAATGTGTTGTAAATCTTAACCTCTATGCCTGTGGTAATAATCTTGTTTGGGAATGGGTTGTCTGTTATGTTAAAGAGGCAGGATTAGGGTGGGATGTATCTTGAGTCACCACCTTACTAGAAGATGTGACTCCAGGTACCACTTTTACCCCAGTCACCACCTTTATCACCCTTATTCAAGTCAGACCCTTACTTGAGTCACAACATTTACCTTACAAGAGATAAAAGGAAAGAGAAGCAAACATAGAGAGGGATCTCAATACCACCAAGAAGAACAGAGAGGAGCAGAGCATGTCCTTTGGACCTGGGGTCCCTGTGCTGATAACCTCCTAGAACCAGGAGACACAGAGAGAGAACTGTAACACTGGAGACGGCAAGAAGCAGTGGCAGAGAAATGGCAGCAGGAGACCAGGCAGGGGAGACTACCCACAAAGTGAGAGAGAGCTGAGTGCCTTTGGGCCAGAGGCTTCCTAGCAGAGTGGGGTGCCTCTGGGCACTTACTGGTGGATCTAAAGAGTTTTGTAACATTTGCCTGAGCCGGGCAGATGCCAGGCTGAGGGACCAAGGGCCAGAAAGAGGCCTGCCTGTGGACACGGCTGAGAAGAGGCTATTCTGATCTACACGGACCTTCCTTCAGGGCCAAAAGACAGAGAAAGCCTTCCCCTAGTGCCGGTGCTCTGAATTCGGTCTTGTAGCCTCCTAAACTGTGAGACAATAAATTTGTTTGTTAAAGCCATCCACTTGTGGTATTTCTGTTATAGCACCACTAGATAACTGAGAGGTCAAGTGACTTATCCAAGGTCACACAGCTGGTCCATGGAAAAGTCAGGACAGGAACATGGGTTTGTCTGATATACTGTGCATATATGAATAAAATCAGAGTGAAATCAAAAGTTCCATTCTCAGTCTGTATCCTGTTTCACTAATTTTATACTTTGGTTGTATTTTCCCACTATAATTTCTGGGAACAAACACAAAAAAAGTCAGAATAAAAGTTCCAATTTAATGTCATTAGCCAATCCCAACACAATTTCTATTTCCAACTATTTTATTTTTCAGTCAGGAGAATGAGGTAAATATGTGTCCATTTCTTTGCCCCTCCCAACAGAACCTAGTTGTCTGTGCTCTGTTAAGCTCGTGACTATCCTTAATCATATTTATTATGCACGCTGTTATAACATAGTACACAAATTAGCCAGCAGGAGGAATATGAAGCAACAATGGCTTTGCTATTTTAAGTGAACTCTTGGATATCTATCTACATGGTAAATATTCATGGAGCAAATACTAAGATGTATATTTTAGCACTTCCTATATATGAAAATGCAAATGTGTGTGTCTGTGTGTGCACATGCTCGTGTGTGTGTGCATGAGACAGATAGAAAGATCATTTTCTTCTACATGTTTTCAACCCAAGTACTGCACTGTCTCCATATCATGGCAATTTTGGCAAGTGAAACAGTCCTTAGGAAACATCCACTGTTATTTCTTTGTCTTCTCTCAATGAGGTCTAAGTAAAATGTCACCCAGATATTCTTGGGTGATGCCGTCACCAACCTGCATTTGGATGTTCTACTACTGCTTCCGGAGTCCAGCGTCCAGCCTTCACATAGCCCCTCTTTTCCAGAGTTATGAGAAAGCTTCCATCTCCAATTACAACTTCTCCACTGTCCAGACGTTCCAAAATACCCTGAAGAAGAGAGAGAAAAATCACCTAAGTGCTTTTCTTTTCTAAAAGCAGTTTCTAACTTTAGGAAAGGTCGTACTGTGTTCTTAGAGCCCTAGTTTTGTTGAAATCATCAGTGTCTAATAGTATCTCAGACCGAGCATACATTTCTCAGTCAATCCAGGTGCTTATTTTGTGCAACTAAAGTGCTGTGACTATTTTTTCTCAAGTAAAATTTAATCTGAGCCAAATTATAATGAAAATGTTGATTCTGTAATAGTTATTTTAGTTTACAACATGCTTGTGACAGACAGTGCTAGTTACCTAACTAATATGCATTCTTCCCCCCTTTTTTTACTAACGTATTTTATTTGGGGTGACAATAACCCCAACTAAAAAGAAAAATCAATTTCCCAGTCTCCCTTGCTGCTGGGCATGGCCATGTGACATGTGTTGGCCAATGAGAAATAGGTGGAAGTCTACTGAGGATTTCTGGAAAGTTGTGCTTTCCTGATATAGATCCCCTCACCTTCCCTTCCTGTCTCCTCTTCCTTCTGACTAGAATGTCGATATAATGCCTGGAGGTGTAGTGGTCATCTCACAGCCATGTCACTGGAAGCTGCATGCTAACTGGTGGAGCAGACTGATGACAAGAGCCTTGTTTCCAAATGACATCCCTGAGTAGTTGCAGCAGCCATGACTGCCCCCTCCAGCCCTCGTTAGGTGAGAAAAATAAACCTCTCGTTTGTTTAAGCCACTGAACATAATGCTAATGGACACACAATTTCATAATTATGCCCTACATTTGTCCAGCGTATACATATACACGTATATGTTCATATACATGTTATCTTTTGTCCTCAACAACTCTGTGAGCCAGGCAAAGCAGAGTTTTTATTTCCATTTTATAAATGAGAAAATCGGGGCTCAGCAAGGTTAAGTGACTTGTCCGAGACCACAGAGCTAAGTAAATAGAAAAGCGGACTTCAGCTCTTCTAAATTCCTAATCTAGTCTCCTTCTACTCTTGTTGTTGTGTTGTTAGTTGCCTGTCTTAGTTACCTAGCGCTGTTGTAACAGAAATAACACAAGTGGTTGGCTTTAACTAAGAGAAATTTATTCTCTCACAGTCTAGTAGGCCTTAAGTCCAAATTTAGCATACCAGCCCCAAAGGAAGGCTCTCTGTCAGCTCTGGGGGAAGGTCCTTGTCATCAATCTTCCCTTGGTCTAGGAGCTTCTCCACAGAGGAACCCCAGGTCCAAAGGATGCACTCTGCTCCCGGTGCTGCTTTCTTGGTGGTATGAGGTCCCCATGTCTCTCTGCTCCCTTCTCTTATATCTCAAAAGAGATTGGCTTAAGACACAATCTAATCTTGTAGATTGAGTCCTGCTTCATTAACAAAGCTGCCACTAATCCCATCTCATTAACATCGTAGAGATAGGATTTACAACATATAGGAAAATCACATCAGATGACAGAATGGTGGACAACTACACAACACTGGGAATCGTGGCCTAGCCAAACTGACGCACGTATTTTTGGGGGACGCAATTCAATCCATACATTGCCAGAGAGTTGATTCCGACTTGTTCAGCTCACCCATTAACTTACATTAAAGGTGTACCCAAAGAGTTAGCGAAGCACTGTGGTCTGCTTTGTCTGAAACGTGCCTCTCCCAGATATCTTCATGGCTCACCTCCTCACTTCCTTCAGGTCTTTGATCAAGTGTCATCTTTTCAGAGAGGCATTCCCTGACCACCTACATAACATCATAAACACCCCCATGGAAATCCTTCTCTTTTTGTATTGACCACCTTAGTTGAAGATACAATCTTTTATTAAAAAGATACAAGGCCAGTTCATTTCAGCTCTGCCCACAGCTGGCCATACAGTAACACATGGATGGGGGAGAAAAGCCTCCAGGTTCCCTTTCTAACCAGCTGTATCTATTCTGTGAAATCAATATAAATCCCTAAGTTCTTGAATTCAAGGCATACAGCGAGCAGGGCACAGAGACAGCTTACTGGGCTACATGTTAGTATTAGGGTAAAAGCTAAGGGGCTGGAATGCTGTGCTATCACCATGCTCACCAGTAAAAGTCAAAAAGAAGAAAGCCTCTGCCTCTTGGCTACCATCCCCAAAGCACACAGGTACATCTGACTGGGGATGCTAATTCTTACCAGAACTCACGCTGCAGAAGAGTTTGAAGATGACTTAAACTTCCTTTCTCTGCAGTACAAGAAGGTATAAGGCTTGTACTGGAGGCTGGGTACCCTGCTACCGTATGTACAACATCTCCATTTTATTGTACATGTGGTGGGAAGTTGAATGAAGCCCAGCTGTGCTGACCTAAAAACACTATTTTGGCAGAGAGTTCCTGACTCTGGTATTTTTCTGTATTTTACATCTACAGTAGAATTTAAGCTGAATGTAGAAGAAATGTTAGTATTAACCATGATTCTCATCTCTCTCTCTACTCCCTCCATAAAATGGAATTCATTCTCACTTTTGAAACATAAAAAGGACTTAAACTTTAAACTTTTACTGGGACCTTAACACATTCCAGCTATAGTTCTAGGCAACAGAGGTAAGTGTCGGAGTAACACAAGGCTCTGCCCCCATGAAGCTGAAAGTCCAGTTATCTTGGGGAAAGCCAGTAGGTCAACAAATAATTACAGCTCAATGTCATACATAAGTGCTGCACAGGGATATACAAGAGAGAATCAAAGGTATAGTCATTCTAGATAAAGTCTCATTTAGAAAATCTAATACACTTCAATAAGTCAACCATGTTAAGAATCAAATTTAATATTACACATTCCATAATCCTAGGAGGGGGGAAAAACATTGGCATAGAATTTTTGCATAATAGGTTCTACTCTGACACGGACGGGGTCGCCATGAGTCAGAATCGACTTGACAGCAAATGGACTGGACTAATTTCGTGTATCTTCCATTCCTTCATACATCACACCCTAATATAGTATCTGGTTACCTACCCACCTCCTAATTTGGCTGTAAGATGCTTGAGGGCAGGTGACATATCTTATTTGTCTGTGGACCTACCACCTCATACAGCACCTAACAAAGGCCCTTAATAAACTATGCCAAGAGTTGGAGAGGCAGGTCTGTTTTGAAAATGACATGTGTCATATATGCTAAAATTTGATCCTGGAGCAAAAAAAAAAAAAAAATGAGACTTTCAAATAGAAAATTAGCTAGAGTTTTAAGAAAGTTATAGCATATATTTTGACTCTCTTCACGATACCAAGGAATGAATGGTAAGACATTTTTGTCTGTTATCTGATTCTTTTTCCAATATTTAAAGTTTTGCTGATTTTATAAACAGCCATCAGCAAAATAACTAAATTATCAATATTTAAATTCATAGCATCTTTTAGCCTTTACTTCACTGCCACATGCTGTTGTTGTCAGGTGTTGCTGAGTTGGTTCTGACTCATAGCAACCCTATGTACAGCAGAACGCAAAATTGCCGGGTCCTGTGCCATCCTCGCAACGTTGTTATGCTTGAGCCCATTACTGCAACCACTGTGTCAATCCATCTCATTGAGGGTCTTCCTCTTTTTTGCTGACTCTCTACTTTACCTAGCATGATGTCCGTCTCCAGGGACTGGGTCCCTCCTGATAACATGTCCAAAGTATGTGAAACATAGTCTCGCCATTCTTGCTTCTAAGGAGCATTCTGGCTTGACTTCTTCCAAGACAGATTTGTTTGTTCTTCTGGTAGTCCGTGGTATATTCAATATTCTTCACCAACAGCATAATTCAAAGGCATCAATTTTTGGATTCTACAACTAACTGGAGGTGTTGTGTGTGCCAATTAAATACATTCTTAAAAGATATCTGTGTGCTGAGAAGAGAGGTGGAATTAGCTCCTTCCCACTAGCACCTTTGATCTTGGTACCCGTTAACATGGATTAACGTATGATAATACTGGTGTCGTTAGAGCAGAGGCATGGAAAATACTGAACAAGGACAGTATATTTTTAAACCTTAAAAAAAAAAAAAAAAGGAACCATGAAAGTGAACACAGCATTACAGAAAGCTTACAGAAAAAAATCACCAAAATGGTCTTTGCTTTACCTTTTATTAGTCTCATTTCTTCACTGCCCACATTTTACCTTTATAATTATAAAAAAAAATCCAAAACCACGTTTTTTGAAACCTATATCCATATCTTATATAAGTATTACCATTATTGTGCCCTTCCGTATTAAAAAAAAAAAACCAAACCCCTTGCCGTCCAGTCGATTCCAACTCATAGCGACCCTTTAGGACAGAGTCGAACTGCCCCATGTGGTTTCCAAGGAGCAGCTGGTGGATTCGAACTGCCGACCTTTTGGTTAGCAGCCCAGCTCTTAGCCACTGCGCCACAGGGCTCCGCCTTTCCTTATAGTGTTTATGTAAATATTTTACATAGTTGGGATCAGTCTGTGATATAATATCGCCTTTCGTAACTTCATATTGCCAAAGCCCTTTGCCTGTTCCATACTTTTTTAATGACTGCCTAAGCCCTGGTTGTGCAGGAGTTAAGAGCCGGCCGCTAACAAAAGGTTGGCAGTTGAAATCCACCACCCGCTCCTTGGAAACTCTGTGGGGCAGTTCTACTCTGTCCTATAGGGTCGAAATATGGGTCGAAATCCACTCGATGGCAACGGGTTTTTTGGTTTTAATAACTTATTAAGTGGATGAATCTTAAGTTATTTAGTGAGCTCCCACTGTAGGGTATCTTGGTTGCTCCTGTCTAGCATAATTAAATAGGTAGTGTACACTCTCATGCTTGTATCCTTCCTCCCGCTGCCCCCCACCCACACCCCCCTAGCCATTTTGAATTACGGGCTCAGGTGGGTTGCTCTGAGGGGTCCGGGTACGTTCTGCGTCCAAGTTCACGCCTTTATTTTGCTTGGTCATCCCCTTGCTCCCCACCCCGTCCCCCAACACCCAGGGTAGAAATGGGAGGGCAAAACCCACAGGCGGTGGGGAGGTCGAGGGCCTGGCCAAGGAAGGGTGTGGCTAGCAGATGCTGAGCCACACAGGGCGCCGGGGGCGCGCGGCCAGGGGCGCGCGAAGGCGGCTGAATTTGCGCGTGCTCACCCATCCCCGCGGCGGCTCGGGGTGTCCTGGACTAGTTCCAAGGCCGCCCGCGGCTCACAGGTTGAGGCTGCGGCCCTTCCAAAGTGCGCGGAAAGTTTCCACGAGATCTGGGGCCGCGTAAGCCCTAAGACCTGCGGATGCAGGACCGTTGAGGGAAGAAAATGTGAGTGTGGCGTCTGAAGTCCCAAAGCTAGATTTCAAATCCCCGCTGCATCCTGAACTAAGTGGGGACCCTGAGCTAGTCGTCTGAGCCTCAGTTTCCTCATGTGTGAAATGAGGATAATACCTATTAATGAGGGGTTGTGAAAAGGTGGAGATAATTCGCATAAAGCACCATGCAGAGTGCGGGACATTTAGGAAGGGCTCAATAAATACTGATTGTTATCCAGTCCTCACACCGAGGCAGTATCATCACCATGCTCGGTAACCCGTAATCGGGTTAACCGACCTCAGAGCCGGGCCCAACGCCCGGCTTGGTTAGGGGCTGAAGTGGGATTTGACCTCGAGTCGCTCGGAGTCTCCCGGTCAGGAGGGCTGAGGTCCTCACGGCCTCCCGGAAACTCACCTTTCTGTCCCCGGGAACTCCAGCTGCTGCCATGGTGCCGTTACTTCCTCGTGCGTCTGGTGCCAAGGCGCGCGCCAGTCCAGGAGCCCGCCCCTCGTCCGCCCGCCTCTTGGCCGGGAGAGGGTCCTACGGCTGCCCAGACAGCCGCAGTTCCTAGGCGGCGGGCTGACGTCGAAGCGGTTACCCGCGCTCTCGGCTTTGCTATGCTCCGCCTGGGAGCGCAGCGGCTGCGGGGCCTCCCTCTGCGGAGTGTCCCGCTACGGGGCGCAGAACCTGCGCACTCCCTGGGCCACCCGCGCTCAGTCTACACCCAGGAAGGGTGAGTCGGGGTCCCGCCTGCGCATCCGCCGCTAGACACTTGAGGGGGGTGGCAGCGAGGGGCTGAGGCAGTCTCCGCGGTTAGGAGAAATACTGCCCCCTAGAAATGGACTTTCTTCTTGAATTAACTATGTTTTCTTTTCCACGCACAACGGTACAAACTGAAACAGTATCAAAGGATTCCCCATGCAAAGTCCCTTGTGCCACAATCCCTTTCCCCACTCAACAGCTGTCAATAGTGTCTTCTGTATCAATCCGGAGATGGTCTATGCATAGGCAAACACAGGTGTATGCATGTATGTTGTTCTTTGGCTTAAAAAAAAGAAAAAAAGCCAGTTGTGAATTCAGACTCATGGTGACCCCATGTGTACCAGAGTAGAACTGTGCTCCATAGGGTTTTCAATGGCTGATTTTTTGCAAGTAGATCACCAGGCCTTTCTTCTGAGGCACTTCTGGGTGGATTCAACCCTTTCAGTTAGCAGCTGGGGGCGTTAACAAGTTGCACCACCCAGGGACTCCTTTGGCTCACTTACACTTTACTTTTTACAATTATCAATATGTCTTAGAGATTGTTCCATATCATCACATATTCATTTGTGGGATTCTTTTTAACAGCTGCATGATTTTCCATCCTGTCAATATTCCACAGTGTAATTAAGCAATCACCTATTAATTAACGTTTGGATTGTTTCCAGATTTTTGTTACTGAAAACAAGGTGGGCGTGAACATCCTTATGCATGTATCTGGGAGGCTATCTGTAGAATCAATTTCTAAAAGTGAAATTGCTGGAAAAAGCATTTGTGTATTTTAAATATTAAAAGCTAGAGCCAAATTAACCCTCCAAATCTGTGGAGCAATCTGCATGCTCGCCAGAAGCGTGTGAGAGTTTGTTTCCCACATCTTTCCTGGCACCAGGAGTAGCAAACATTTTGATTTTTGCTAAATCTAATAAGTGAAAATGGTTATTTCCCTTTTTTCATTTGTATTTATTTAAATATGAGCAATGCGGAGCATCTTTTGACTTTTTTATGTTGACAGATTATTCGAGACTGCAAGGAAAGTCTTCTGTTTACTAGCATCACTCAGCATTATGAATTGACTCAATATTCATTTTACATGTTCGACCTGAAATTCTGCAATAAAAAAACGTGGTTTTGAGTTCCCTCTGTCTGTCCATCCGTCCGTCCATCGTTTCATTCAACGAGTATTCTCTGGGTGTCTGTAATATGCTAGGCTTATTCCTAGTGCTGGGGATAAAATAGTCACCAAGTTGCAGTGACTGTTCCATCAATTGCACAGGATGTGACCTTACACTTTGGAGTTTCAGTTTCCTCATCTATAAAATGAGGATAATAGTACATGCTTTGCCTAATCACAAGATTGTTGCAAATATTAAATAAGAGAATGAATATAAAAGTGCTTTGTAAACTATAAAACATCACATAACTCATTGCCCTTGAGTTGACTCATAGTGACTCTATAGGACAGAGTAGAACTGCCCCATAGGCTTCCAAGGCTGTAATCTTTACAGAAGCAGACTGCCACATCTTTCTCCTGCAGAGCAGCTGGTGGGTTGAAACTGCCAACTTTTTGGTTAGCAGCTGAGCACTTAACCACTGAGCTTCCAGGGCTCCTTAAAACATCACATAGATGTTTATAATATTAATAATACTTTTTATCCAGTGAAAATTTAAACAGAAATTTGTCCGAATGGACTTGATCTGTTTAGAACTGACTGTACAAATAAATAATTCAGAATTATCCAGAAATTAGATTTTGCTCTCTTCAGTAGTGTGCAGATCTGTAGTGAACAAATAAAAATTTAAATAATTTGTTTCTATTGCATGTTCTTTATATACCCAATTCCAAACTATCAAGATGATGTTTTATTTTGGAAAGCAGTTGGACAAGCACACTGGCAATTAAAAAATTTGCATTTCTAATAGAAGATAGACAACCTGTGCTTCTGCATATCTCTGACTTTGATTTCCAGTGTCTTTACAACCATCTCTGACCACTTCCAAATGGAATTTAAGATAATTTATACACAATTTACAAACACTATACCTGGTTTGAAACCCATTATGGCATGCTGGGCAGAAGGAATAATATACATTCGATAATGCCTTATTGTACATTACCAAACTGAACCTTCACAATCTCATTTTACAGATAAGAAAATTTTGAGTCTCTTGACTAAATTTTCCTAAAATAGTTGATAGTATTGAAGTCTCAAACCCAGGTTTCCTGACCTTAAGTTCTTTATTCTTTGTGTTTTACCTGGCCCTGTCCTGAAAGAAATCATATATGAAATCATATATATATTTTCATTTCAGTGCAAAAAAAGTACCTTTATAATAATTAGTTTGTTACCACTATAATGGTTTCAACTGAAGTACAAGATATCCCCAGGTCATTTAAAAATTTATTTCTATGCAAAGTAGTCAGTAGTCGTAAGTGCATTATTTTATTCCTTACACAGTCCACAAAGAGATGACAAAAGTCATTTAAAAATTGGTTAAACAAAAGTACTGGAACATACTGTGACTCTGTTTTTGTTAGGTGCCATCAAGTCGGTTCTGATTCAGTGACCCTATGTACAACAGAACGAAACACTGCCCAGTCCTGTGCCATCCTCACAATCGTTGCTATGTTTGAGCCCACTGTTGCAGCCACTGTGTCTGTCCATCTCTTTGAGGTCTTCCTCTTTTTTGCTGACCTTCTGCTTTACCAAACATGATGTCCTTCTCCAGGCACTGATCCCTCCTGATAACGTGTCCAAGGTATGTGAAATGAAGTCTCGCCATTCTTGTTTCTGTGGAGCATTCTGGTTGTACTTCTTCCAAGACAAATTTGTTTGTTCTTCTCGCGGTTCATGGTATATTCAGTATTCTTCATCAACACCATAATTCAGATGCATCAGTTCTTCTTCAGTCTTCCTTATTCATTGTCCGGCTTTTGCATGCATGTGAGGTGAATGAAAATACCAGGGCCTGGGTCAGGCACACCTTAGTCCTCAAAGTGACATCTTTGCTTTTTAACACTTTAAAGAGGCCTTTTGCAACAGATTTGCCCAGTGCAATACATCGTTTGATTTCTTGACTGCTGCTTCCATGGGTGTTGATTGTGGATCGAAGTAAAATGAAATCTTTGACAACTTCAATCTTTTTTTAGTTTATCATGATGTTGCTTATAGGCCCACCCAGGTGTGAGTATTTTTTTTTTTTTCTTTATGTTGAGGCGTAATCCACACTGAAGGCTGTAGTCTTTGATCTTCATCAGTAAGTGCTTCAGGTCCTCTTCAACAAGCAAAGTTGTGTCATCTGTATATCACAAGTCGTTAATGAGTCTTCCTGGAATCCTGATGCTGTGTTCTTCATATAGTCCAGTTTCTTGGATTATTTGCTCAGGATACAGATTGAATAAGTACGGTGAAAGGATGTAACCCTGACATACACCTTTCCTGATTTTAAACCACATAGTATCCCTCTGTTCTGTTTGAAGGACTGCCTCTTGATCTATGTGCAGGTTCCTCATGAGCACAATTAAGTGTTCTGGAACTCTCATTTTTTGCAGTGTCATCTATAATTTGTTATGATCCACACAGTCGAGTGCCTTTGCATAGTCAATAAACACAGGTAAACTTCTTTCTGATATTCTCAGCTTTCAGCCAGGATACGTCTGACATCAGCAATGATATCCCTTGTTCCACGTCTTATTCTGAATCCATCCTAAATTTCTGACAGTTCCCTGTAGATGTACTCGTGCAACCATTTTTTAATTATCTTCAGCAAAATTTTACTTGCGTGTGATATTAATGATATTATTCAGTAATTTCTGCATTCCATTGGATCACCTTTCTTTGGAATGGGCACAAATACGGATCAATGAAAATTGGAAGTTGTCAAAAATGAAATGGAACCCTTAAAGATCGATATCCTAGGCATTAGTCAGCTGAAATGGACTGGTATTGGCCACTTTGAATTGGACAATCATGTGGCCTATGATGCAGGGAATGACAAATTGAAGAGGAATGGCATCACAATCATTGTCAAAAAGAATATTTCAAGATCTATCCTGAAATACAATGCTGTCAGTGATACGATAATATCCATATGCCTACAAGGAAGACTAGTTAATACCACTATTATTCAAATTTACATAGCAACCACTAATGCCAAAGATGAAGAAATGGAAGATTTTTACCAATTTCTGCAGTCTGAAATTGATCAAACATGCAAATTGATCAAGATGCATTGATAATTACTGGTGATTGGAATACGAAAGTTGGAAACAAGAAGAATCAGTAGTTGGAAGATATGGTCTTGGTGATAGAAACGATGCTGGAGATCACATGATAACATTTTGCAAGCCCAATGACTTATTCATTGCAAATATTGTTTTAACAACATAAATGGCAGCTATACATTTGGACCTTGCCAGATGGAATATGTGGGAATCAAATCAACTACATCTGTGGAAAGAGATGATGGAGAAGCTCAATATCATCAGTTAGAACAAGGCCAGGGCCGACTTTGGAACAGACCATCAATTGCTCATATGCAAGTTCAAGTTGAAGAAAATTAAAACCAGTCCACTAGAGCCAAACTACAACCTTGAATATATACCACCAGAATTTAGAGACCATCTCAATAATAGATTTGATACATTGAACATTAATGACCAAAGACTGGATGAGCTGTGGAATGACATCAAGGACATCATGTATGAAGAAAGCAAAAGTCATTAAAAAGACAGGAAAGTCACAACAGGACCAGAGCAAAAGCTAAGAAACCTCCTAAACACTTCGAGGGACAGAGTAGCTGGGGCTGGGGCCTGGGGACCATAGTTTTGAGGAACATCTAGGTCAATCGGCATAACAAAGTTTATTAAGAAAATGTTCTGCATCACACTTTGGTGAATGGCATCTGGGGTCTTAAAAGCTTGCAAGCAGCCATCTAAGATGCATCAATTGGTCCCAACCCGCTTGGAGCGAAGGAGAATGAAGAACACCAAAGACACAGGGAAAATATTAGCCCAAGAGACAAAAGGTCCACGTAAACCAAAGACTCCATCAGCCTGAGACCAGAAGAACTAGATGGTGCCCGGCTACCACCAATAACTGCCCTGACAGGGAACACAACAGAGAGTCCTGGATGGAGTGGGAGAAAAGTGCAGACCAGAACTCAAATTCACATAAAAAGGCCAGACTTAATGGTCAGAGACTGGAGGAACCCTGAAACTGTGGCCTCCGGATGCTCTGTTAACCCAGAACTAAAACCATTCCTGAAGCCCACTCTTCAGACAAAGATTAGACTGAACTATAAAACAAAAAATAATACACGTGTGCTTCTTAGTTCAAGTAGATACACGAGACAAAATGGGCGGCTCCTGTCCGGAGGCGGGATGAGAAGGCAGGAAGGGACAGGAACTGGTTGAATGGACACAAGAAACCTGGGGTGGAAAGGGAGAGTATGCTGTTACCTTGTAGGGATTGCAACTAATGTCACATAACAATATGTGTATAAATTTTTGTATGAGAAATTGAGCTGTAGACTTTCCAATAAAGCACACACACACACACACACACACACACACACACACACACACACACA